AACCTTTGTCCTCTAGCGATCAAAACAGTATCGACGATGTGATTGGCCTTTCACTAATTTTCACCCCAGAAGCGCTCCGTCAATTGAGTGTGTGATTTAACAGGAAAGCTGTATTGTATTACGTAATAGCCTGGTGATGTTTTTGTTTTCGTAGATTTTATAGGTTTGGTGAATTTCTGGGCAATGAATATACGATTCGCTTAACAGTTTATAAGTATAAATAAATAAAACCGTGGCGGCAAATGGAATTAATTAATTGTTTCAATAACGATTTGTATTTTCGAAAGAATCAAAAAGATCGAAAAAGTCCAAGACTTGTAGCTTCACTTCATGGGTGATAAAATATGTACATCGATTATGCAGTCACTGTTTTCTAAATCAATGTTAACTTACCGTCCAGCTCGCATAGTGCAGGTACTACTGCCAGTAGTAAGACAATCAATGTTTTCATGGCTGTGAAAAAGTGCAGTACACATGTGTTAATAAGCGAATATATATAAACCGGATGTAAAGAGTGTATATTTATGTTTATCGATTCCAATGAACAACTACGAAGTAACATAGCTCATCTGATCTGATCATTAACTATCATAACCGAGAGTCTGAGTTCAAGTTTAAGTTTAATCAGATCTAGATTCCAACAAGTATGGTATTGTGTACTTGTTGTGAGTGTATAACAAACTTATCCACCAAAGATTTTATTCAGTCACTCATGCTGATAGTTACATAATCCTGCCATGTAGTTCCAAACATAAATCATGTTCTCTGCTGCAATTTATATAATATCACAAGTGTATATGAATCGACGACATCCAACGAGGCGTATGTCACAAATTGAACTTGATCAGTGTGTCAAAATGTATGATATATATTGCCACTGTGTGTGAACAAACCAGCATTGCCATAAAGTGGGCCATTGGAATATCCCACATATTTGTTGTTACCTAAAGCATGACACGTCCCACGCTAATCTGATTTCAGTTGTACAGAAATCATGAGTCCCATTAAATTTTGATATTTTGGAAATTGCAGGGTTTTGAATTGTAATAAATTTCGCCTAAATGTTGCTCAAACTTAATTATCACAATGAATTGACGGTCTTGTGAATAAATATATTTGAGCAGAAACAATACTCCGCGTACCGACTTGCACCCATAGTCTTTTAGTGTTAACACGTTGCTAGATACCCATCGTATTTTCTCTCACATTAAGCACCGTGGTATATGACCGCCCCCTCCAACATAGCAAAACGTTGTACCCGAAATAGTAACTGCAAATGTTATATTCACCTTCAGGTTTTTTGAAGTCGAGCTTCCTCGGGACAACGTTTGGATTTGGTCACTGCAAGAAATAAAATGATCTCGTTAGATAATGGTGATAAAGCCCAGATGATAAATGTAAGTATTAGTAGTGTATTGTAGAATACAGAGAAGTTATAAGACAGAATGTAGTAAAGATTCAGTGTAAGTCACTTACGTGAAATGTGAAAATTGGCGTAGTTGCTGCTGCTGACTGTTGACAAACTGTGTCCTATCAGTGAGATACATGTACCTTTAAAGCATGCTCGGAAAACAGATTCCACTGTTCTTTGATTGAGCAAAACAAAGAAAATGAATTAATGAATCACAAAACGGTGACATTTAGCTCAAATGTGCCACGGCTCTATAGTCATACTTTGCAATTAGTTACTGTTGCCGGTGTTCATGAACCACGTCATCGCAAGCTTATACATATTTTGCAAAGAAATTTCATCTCATTATCTCATTTATTTATTGTAATTGCGTCAATTATATAGTTATGTTACACGCGCAGATATGAATCAAAGCATTTCAGTCAAAACAGCGACAGGCATCAAATGATACATTGTTATAGTGTGCGTGTCCACACATGTACGCACGTCGCCTTTCTTAATATTCAACGTACAACTGTTAAAAACAAGTAATATCCCTGCCCACGGGTGGAAAAAACGCAACATATGGTGCATTGCATGGTTAAATTTTCATAAAAAATATGGGGAAGAATATTGTTTTTTGTCGGCACAATGTTGCTTAAAAGTCACTTATATTTGCCTCCCAGCATAGTTATCAAAAGCAGATATGAGCAGATTAGTAAACAACTCATCCAGTCATTGCGATTGAATCTTTCTTATCCAGTACATTAATATGTCTGTTTGGAAATATCAGTAACAGTAATTGATACAGCGATAATATGATTACGGATGACACTGGGTCAAAGGGCAACAGGATGACGTGCGACTTTGTCATAACTATTCACGATTGACAGTATTCTCTCTGGAAATGTATAATAGTGCAACTGACCTCGTCTATTGATGGGAAATTGAGCGTAGAATTGATAGAGAAACACCGGCAGAATGCAAAAAAAAAATCGACTTACAACTTATCTGTGACATTATGTTTGATAGGTATGC